TTGGAAACGACAAATATTATTAAAAACGAACTTCTACTAGCAAGTAACTAGCAAGGGAACATAGTACAAAAACAAAGCAAAAACTTTCATGGAATGAGAGACATCAATATGAAATTAAAATAGGAATAGAGATACGTTCCGGTTTTCCTAATCGTCAATTCCTTCCTTGACCCTGCATTTTATCCAAAAGAACACCAATCACTTAATTGCGGTTACTTGAAGTCTAGAATTGGAGAGTTGAATAATTAAAGAGTAGTTTAGTGTATATTTGTATTTGTCGTTCAAAAATAATAATAATAATAATTAAAGAGTAGAATGCAAATGTTGTTGTCATTTATTTAATAGATAAAACTCTATATTGACATTCAATGAATTTAAAGTTCAAATTTCAAATGTCATTGAACTCTTTAATGGGAAAAAGGAAAGTTTTTTTAACTCTTCAATATATATTATAAAGACAAAATTATTCGGTTGGCGTAGGTGTTTTGCCAAAACAGAGTGATTCTGTACAACTATCTAAACCATCATGCACTTGGTTCTCGTGGTTTCATGTTTTGTGTGGTTCTTCCTTTAGGGTATACACAATCCAATGAATTTCATAGAGTTCAATGGATTGTCACGTCATTATTATATATTACATACAACTCTATCAATTTTTTCCTACGGTACACTGAACTCTACAAAGTTCAACGAAACATATTTAAATATTTATTCAAATATTAGAAAACTTTTTTTCCATTGAACTTCAAATCTATTGAGTGTCAAGGTGACATCTCACAGAGGTAGAGTTTCATCCATTGAATGACAAGTAAGTTTTCCACGTCATTAAATTCTTCATTAAACCATTCATTGTGGATGCTCTTAGACATGTAAAATGGCCTCACGAAACATATTTAAATATTTATTCAAATATTAGAAAACTTTTTTTTTCCATTGAACTTCAAATCTATTGAGTGCCAAGGTGACATCTCACAGAGGTAGAGTTTCATCCATTGAATGACAAGTAAGTTTTCCACGTCATTAAATTCTTCATTAAACCATTCATTGGGGATGCTCTTAGACATGTAAAATGGCCTTTATACCCTTTTTAATTAATTATTTATCTTTTCTGTAACTAATTTTAATTTATAAAGTAAAAAAAAATCATCGAACCTCATCCTAATAAAACCTTATTAAATTACAATATTCATCTTCGATCACCAGTGGTCGGCGCTCGTCATCTTTCCAGCCGTCGGTCGTCGTCTTTATCAGCATACCCACCGTCTCTACTTCTTCCTATCTAAAACCATCCCTGGCGCTGTATCTCTCTCTCTCTCTCTCTCTCTCTCTAAAACCATATGCGATGTTAGTATGTGTTTCCAACGTTGTCTCTTTCTATCTAAAACCATCTTAGGGTGGACAAAATTGTGCCCAAGATTCATCTTTTCTTAGCTGTCGATGGGAATCTGGGATAATGGTTGAAGGTGGTGGTGGTAGTGGTTGGAAGCACCGGTTGAAGGTTGAGGTGGTGGTGTTATTGTAATATCTAGTTGAAGTGGTCATTGTAGTAGCAACGATGATGGTAGTGGCCATGACTGTGGCTGAAGGTGGTGTTGGTGGCAAGGTGGAGTTGGTCGTGGCTGGTTCTTTAGAGACTTTTTGATATAAAATGTGCACAATTAATGTTGATCTTTATATGTTCTCAAATCTTCTTTCCATCATATTATTCTAAGAACCATATAAACTTATTATCCCTCTATGAACTATATATAGCCATATATCAACTAATTAAGGATCGTAAGTACCATAAGATTAAAAAAAAACTTTTGAGTGGTGAGGCTTAATTAGTTGAAATTGAAGGCTTGTAATATTAAATTAAGGGATAATTAATCAATTTAAAATCATTATTAGAAAGATTTTGAAAACACATGAGAGTTTCAAAGTAATATGGTATAAATAAATTAGCCTACTTTATAATAGATAGTAGGCGAATGTGGTGTGTGTTGCGTAGCAAAACAACTATAATTGTTATAATATGTTAGAATTTACAATTTGTTCATGTTTTTTCCATATTGTTATCAATAACTTTTATAAACACGTCTTTGTTGATGAAAATTGACAAAAAAAAGTGACACAATATTTTGTTTAATATGCCCGATCGTAAATGATGACGGATGTGTTATATTAATATATTACCGAGAATATCATAAAATTGCTATATTTCATAGAGAACATGTACAGAAAAAGTTACTTCGTAACGAAGTAAAGAAAATGATAGTGTAGGATCAAAAATTATAGAATATGTCGTTTATTTATGTCATATTGCAATAGAAGGTTATATATAAAGGTTGATAAAATTGAAACGGTCTCAATGATATATTTTGATATACGAAACTTTATATATTGGAAGCTAAGATATAAAAATGAATTAATATAACTTATCCTAGTATATGTCATTTCAATTTTAAAAGCAATAAAATTTGTTAAATTGCATTGAATTTTTATTTAATATGGCAACTTTTCAAATTTCAACTAAATATTATGTAAATTAAACTTATACAACTAAATACGTCTTTTTATTTATATTGATACTTATAAGAATTAATTAAATAAGACAAAAATATTTAAATTGTTTTGTTAATTAATAAAATTATATGATAATCTAACGTATAGACTAAATATTGTATAGAAACCTTGAGATCAACTATTAAAAACTTAATTACGTGCGTCCAATATTTTATGTGGATTATTCATATAGGATTAATTATATACGGCTTTAAGTTATTACATAAACTATGATTATTTAAATTAGTATTGGTAAGAGTAACTAAAATATATATCTTTAACCACAATAATGTAATGAAACTTTGTTAATTGCATTGAATTTCTATATTAATAGTTGAACTTTCCAAATTCCAACTAAATGATACTTATAAGAGCTAATTAAATATGATTAAACTATTTAAATTGTGTTTACTAAATAACATAATCATCTAATGTCTTTACCAAATATTATATCAAAATCCTTCAAACCAATTATTAAAAAACTAAGTATGTGTCTCTAATATTTTGTCTACTTATTTATATAAAGAGTGTATGTTATTTTATTCTATAAATAATTAATTAAATATATAATACAAAGTTATAAATTTAGGACAACAATTTCATAACTATGTTCTAAACTTAAGGTTGTAGAATTTTAGTTTTCAACAATCATATAAATGCACATTGTGATTGTAAAATTTTAGAAATAATAATTTTCAATCATTTAGAGTTACTAACTATGATAATTTTCAACCTTAATTTACAATTAATAAAATTATTTCTCAAACATACTACGCATCCATATTCACAATATTTTCTTGTCTCTAAATGTATAATCTTCATCTATATATATATATATATATATATATATATATATATATATATATATATATATATATATATA